AATACTTAGTTTGTAAGTACAGGATAAGTCCCAGTTGTGTATAACACCTGATATTTATATGTGGAGGTGCTGTACTCTATTTAGTTGTGTATGAATTGTTGTGTTTTTCAGGACTTGAAACCAAGCGCTTCTTATAGCTTTAAGGTTGAATGAATCCTTTTTTTCAGGGCCAATACAAGTTAATCTCATCAGTTATTGTTTCAGCATATGTCCCTGCTTACATCAGGCACAGGTCAGTAAACTGACATATAGGTCACTGAGTGAATACAGACCATAACTTGACCTCAAATGGCATCTGAACTGCTTCTGTAACCCTTTTATAAATACTGAATGGAAGAGCAGCAGTAGAGAGGGAAGAGAGACTTCATTCTACAAGATGATTCAGGCCAGCCTGCTGGCTCCGAGGCATCCATAAATGCTTTACGCACAATTGAAAATTGTCTGGGCGAGCTAATGTGTTTGTGTGTGTGTGTGTGTGTGTGTGTGTGTGTGTGTGTGTGTGTGTCAAAGTGTATAAATATATCTTTGACTACGTGGATTTTTAGAACTCCTGTCAAATGGGCATTCTTTGTCAGTTTCTCCCCTTCTCTAAAACACCTGTTTGAGGGTTCCGACTTGGTTTTGAGGTTGGGATTAAACTTTAAACAGTTCTTCCTATTTAGCAGGTCAAGGCAAATTGTAGTAAATATTTAATTTCACAGTGTTCTGTTTTTAGTGTCAGAGGGCAGAAATAATTTGACCAGGGACTTAAGTAAAGATTGGCGCTGTGCTTCCATCGTAACACACCGTTTTCTACCCAAAGCATTCTGCAGAAAGCATTTATTCAGAAGAATAAATGCATAAAGACAAGGGTCCCCCTCGTATACTGCTAACACAGTTTGAGTACAGACAAATTGATCACAGTCAAGCGCCCCCCTAATGTCGTTTTCTAAATTCATTCTGACACGGGAGCGGAAAATGAAATGAAAGTCTACCGCTTCCGTCAGTGTTGTGTTATTGTCGACCCCCACTCCTCCAGAGTTCCTCTTCCCCATTGGTCCGATTTGCTTCGCCTCATCCCATAAACAGTGATTCACCTTCTCACATGCCGTACATTAATCACGCACTACGCCAAGCAAACGCTGCGCTGGTGTCACGAACCTCCAATGAAACCGTAAACATTGTTCACAGTAAGATAACACAAAATAAACGTCACTAAAAGTCCTGTGCGCCCCCCACCACCCCAGTCATACTGGCATCGCGGTTTAAATGTGCTAAAGAGGCTTTACTACTGACTAAAGGCATAATCAGCACGGATGAGTCATGCGCTATTTTTAGTGTTCAGAGTAAAATTACCTTCATTCATAGCAATTACAATTTTGTACTGAGTCTGGTGTGAAGCACTTGAAAAGGAGGTTTAATGTATCATCTTTTAAGTGAAAATAAAGTAAATTTTAGTATAGCATGAGAAAGAAGTTCAAAGTAAAACGGATACAAATATGAATTGGTCATGATATATTGGCATGCTGTAAGATCCAGGAATAAATTCCTCTTATGTCACTATGGGCACAAATCCACAGTAAGGGACGTCATTCCAGCATCGACGCAGGAGGCGGATTGCACAGCTAAAGAAAGATAACACACAAGAGGTTTTATACAACCTCGGTAGGATGTTCAATCTCATTAGAAGTGCTTCCTCATGAATAACATTTGAATAAGGATGAATCACTTGATTATAGATTCCTGTGTGTGTGCTGATTTGTGTGTTGACATCTTCCTCTGTGCGCGGCAACGCAACAACGGTGGCAAGTGCCGATTGATGGAGAGTGGGGACCATCTCTTGTCGCTATGCGCCTATTGATGTCATCTCCAGCCCTTTGCCACCTGCCCCCAAATCTGTCTTTACAAGACTTACCTGAGGACAACCCCACTCTAGTTTTCTTGACTCCTCACATGACAGAAATAACCATGATGGGAGGTCAGAATATTTTCTGGGACTGTCATTCCCAGCACATGCAGCACGACCTCTGGCCTAATTATCTCCCCCTTTTTTTTTGTTTGAGTCTGTTTACTTCATAGCCATTTTAAACTTAAGAATAACTCTTCAATCTGTAATGTCTACACCCGTTGCTGTGCAAAACATGCATTTTGACCAGAGCTGTCTGCTCCCAGCAATGAGATTCTACGCCTTTCTCATGTAAAATGTTTTTTGCAGGTTTAGCCCTGATCCCGACGGGTCGGACGGTACAACCTGTCTGGAGCTGGTATCATAACTGAGTCTTTCTGAGGCCTGTGGATTTTCTCTTGTGGCAGGCTCACCTGAAACACAATACATTGAGGCTTGCTGCGATCACCAACTGGCAGAGAGTTGTTTTCGTCGTGTCCACTTCTGAGGGGAAAAAAATGTGCGAGGGTAGAAAAAGAACAAGAAAGTTTCTCCCTCACGCACGTCTGCACACTTCCACCACCTCCTCCTCCTCTCAATCTCATTGTGCTGGCAAATTAGAATTCATGGGTTGCCAAGCCACCCATTCTCCCTCGCCGCTGCTTAATTGTCACGAAAATTGAGGAGATTACCGAGTGTGATTTATGTACAAATAAGACTCTGTCAGAAACCATGACAGACACGCACACATGGACCCTAATGATGGAAACGGTTGGCAATGAACTCCCAACCTTCATCCTTTTCAAGTCCACCCTTCCTTTGTTTTACACTGAACAACACATGCTCAGAAGCGCCGGAAAAATACTGGAGAGAAGGACAATTCAAATCAGATGTGATAAAAATGTGCGTTGGTGCTAAATACAATGCTCTTTGTCTACATTAGTGTTTCTTCTACAAGTTCAAAAATCTAATATCAGTTTAACATATTTTCAAATTGGCAACTATAGTATGCAGCTTCAATAAAGAGTTTAATGTGCTTGAGGCCAGTTATAGAAGTCTTAAACATAAACAGCAGTAAATGAAGATCAGCCTGTGTGCTGTGCAGTGAGAGAAGGCCGTGACCTTCTCCGTGACCTTCTCCATTGCCGATAACTGCCTTTCTGATTGAATGCATGATGGCTCAGTTTAATCCGATAAACAGAAGACAAGATTTACAACTAAAAAGCACAAAGAAATCCCCAACTTTATTGAAGATTCCTCACTTTTTCAGGATGTGTCGACCCGCAAATGTGCTCACCACAAATATAAAGGCAGTAAACCAATTTCACAGCATCCTACGATACATTTTAACAATTTCAAACATGAAAACCGAGCCGATTGTTTTTTTACAGTAAATGAAATACTTATAAACGCTGATTTTCACTCCAAATGAGTGAACATCTTTAGTGAGTACAAGGAATTATTGATCTGTATTTCAGGGCGCAAACATTCCGTGAGAAAGAGTAGATATTCCACAAGACACAAGCCCTCGCATGTGACGACCCAATTTGCCTAACTTTCATTTTATACCAGCTCAATATCTATGTTCTTTTCTCAATTCCGCTGTTTCACTCTCGCCATCACACACACACCTATTTACATGCCCCCCCCACCACACACACACACACACACACACACACACACAAGTATGTGTCTATCTCCACTGGTTGGACGTCTCCATTTTGTGTTGGTTTGTGTGTAAATGTGTGGGTGGGTGCTGAAACCACATGTTCTCTCCCGGGTGGGAGCCAAATGAGGCCGTGTGATTATGGCCTTAACAATGTAATCTCACTTCTTAGACTGTCGCCACTCAACCCCACCTCCCCCCGGTCGTCCTCCTCTCTCCTCCTCCATCCACTCCTCCTTTCAGACCAACCACTCCAGCTAAATCCAATTTGTTATAGTTTGAAATAAGGCCAGGTTTTTCTGTGCTCTTGCCACTTCAAACAAAGTGGCTTCTGTTATTGCTCGTCCAATTTGAAAGTAGAATGTTTTTTTTCCCCTCATCTGTCTTTCCCTTCAGGTCCCATCTTTCTTTCTCCACGGGTCCACGTTCATGCATCGACGCACAATAGGTTGTGTAGACTTGGTGTGGGGCATAAGATGCTGCAGCGGAAAAGCTTTTACACCACGGTTCTTTTTGTAGCTTGTGGACATTATTGACATTTAATGTCAGGCTGAACTTTTCTATCAAGGCTGCTGGACAAATTGGCGCTGAAACCTTTTTTTTTTACTTTTCTCCTCCCTGGTCTCTACCAGGTACATGATTTGTTGTGCATGATTTTGTTTTTCCTGTATAGTATTGATTTCCCCTGATAGAAAATCCCCTAATAAAAATGCTTAAGTAACCAAACAATATATACATTAACATTTCACTAATTATTTTAACATTTTACAAAGAAAAGATTATTATTGGCCAATTCATCTGTCTTTTTAAAAGTGTGTGAGAGTTCGACGTCTCAATTGTAGATCGTGTTTGATGCTCCAAGAGGATTTATGGGGGAGCGATATTCTCCCCTGAAGATCACGTGGAAATGAATTGTGCAGTTTTATCAAATGGAAACTTGCTTGAAACACGTGTTATTGTCAGACAATTGTCTTTGTTTGAGGCAGACAGTCACAATCAATTATGGGATAGACACGGAGGACGTTTAAAGATTTTGTCTCCAATTGTTCAGCAAATGTATTGAATGAATCACTTTACTCCAACATACTTTCACTCCTATATATACGTTTTGTTTTTTTTAAATTGAAAACCTGCCTGTGGGGTGATGCTGCTCATATTGCGCTGTCAAGCATTTAGAAATACTGAGGATTTTTTCACATGGAAGTTAATTAATGAAAATGAAGACCATAAAAATAACAGTGTGTGATAATGGAGATGACACAATTAATTATAGAAATTCTAATGGGGTCTTGACGATGCAAGTCACAACGATGATGATGATGATGATGAAGACCGATGGTGATGTCAAATGGCATGCATGTGGCTTTTGCGTTACCAGTGCACACTCATGCCTGCAGATTGTGGTGTATTTAATGTGAAGGAACACACCGTGAGATAATTGTTGCGTGTGTTTGTCTGCGTGCGTTGCAGGGGATGATGTATCTGGAGGAGCGGCGGCTGGTCCACAGGGACCTGGCAGCCCGAAATGTCCTGGTCAAATCTCCCAACCACGTCAAGATCACTGACTTTGGCCTCGCTCGGCTGCTGGATGTCAATGAGAAAGAGTATAATGCTGATGGAGGAAAGGTAAATCTTTTCATCCCTTTAAGCCAAGTCATTTACAGAGTCAAACGTATAATAAAATATTCATTTATAAGTATTGTTATGTCTACATTTGACATTCGTATTATAGCAGTGACCCAACACGGTACTATGCAAGACCATGGACAGTAAAATGAGCCGAGAACCAAACTGTTTCAAGAGCGAAAATATTGTATTTGTATTCATGTAATTAAGAAAAAGCATAATGACATATTTTTACACAGTGGAAATTTGATTCAAATTAAAATAGAAAATGAGAATAGTAATTGCATTTGTATTAGAGAATTGGTATTTGTTTTAAGCAATTAGAATATAATTGTCAGGTGGAATATATTTAAACCAATATAACTGGGTATTTTTACAATAGGGACTTAGTAAAACACCTTCAAAATGAACTTAAATTACAAGTGAATTGCAAACATTTTTAATGCAGTGGCAAACTGACAAAAAACAGGAATGGAAATTCTAATATATAATGGTCAACCCTGTTTAACAGTTTACTGGTTAACGGGTTGAATGTACATACAATTTCATTATCCTGTTTAATCTTTAAATGAATCATGAATAGCAATGCAGCAAGTAGAAATTGTAATATTTGGGGCAGTACTGCAAGTATTATTAAACCAGTACGGTTAAATTATGTCTGTTAAATAAATAATGGCCTGCAATGGATGACCGGGTTCCCTGCTTGTATTATCTGTTGAGTGATGCGTTTTGGAAGCTCAGTCAGATACAATAGGTTCTTATGCCTTTTACAAAGGACAGTTTTAGTGTAGTCATTGAGCTTCTTTGCTGCTCTAGTGGAGCGATTTATTTACTTTTGGTAAACGGAGATCTCGGAACTCTGTAAATGTAGTAAACAAATACATCCTTCGGCGCAATGGCAGCAGGCCTCTGGGCCTTTTTATTTCAAAACCATTACTTTTGAGGAAATATCTATTTTCTTCTCCCTCGGGGAGTGTTTTTAAAAAAATGTGGTCTTTCGATTTCTCATCGTTACGCAAGTCTTTACCTTCAGAACTCGCACTGAAAGACTCTTGGTTTGGATTTCAGCTCAAACTGTACGATTGAACATATTTCCCGCTCTCCTCACACTCTGTTTCCGTGTCCTCGTTATCAGCCTTTTAATTGTTGTTCAATAACCATCTAAAAATTCCTCAACCAAACTATTTGAAGCTTCTGTGTTGACCAACACCCACTACGCGTAACTTGCTCTTACTGACTGTCGCTATTCAGAGGAAAACGTATAGGCGGCTTGCTGGGAACTATATTTGATGTTTTATTCCAGAAAATTGATGGACCCGATTACATACTGGCCACGACAGAAAACCGTTGGCCGTGTTTTCCATCTTTCTCTCATTACTCTCGTCTGTCAAACATAGTTGGCATAGCCAGTTCTGTCTGTCCCACCACGCTGTTTTGCAGATCAATTGTTTATAACGCTATTTTTGTGTCATGCATATTGACATACTGCTATTCTCTGCTTTTACCTGGCAGATGCCAATCAAATGGATGGCACTGGAGTGTATCCATTACAGGAAGTTTACTCATCAGAGTGACGTTTGGAGTTACGGTAAGTTACAAAAAATGTTTAGGTAACAATATGTATATATGTGTGTGTTTCTTATATATACAACTACAAAAACAAACGCAAAACTAGGCAGAAGTATGGACATCTTCAAAATAAGGTTTCGGGGAGGCTCTAGATTATGGGTGTAAATTTATCTTGTGACATGCTGTGCATGACGTGTAAAATAAACATCATACAGTTTCCTTGACAGGAAGCTAATTTATAGATCTAAGGCAGCTGCAGCGGGTCTTGTCGTTGTAGCACTGCTGATGAAGCAAGTAACGAGTGTTTATTTTGTATTACCTGCCATTGTTCAACTGCATTGAACGATCACAACCAGTGCAAATTGAAAAACGGATGATCTATAACTTTAAATCCTTGTAAATGTAAAAGACCAACCTCCTCCATTATCCTTCAGTTTGAGATTTCTAATACTTTATTTAAAATACACAATTCAGATTCAAGCAACCAATGACTCTTAAAGTAATTTAACAATGATTAAAAAAATGGGATCAAGATGGGTCTGATTAAAAGTATCCGTGTGGTTTAGCGCACACGTCCCTAGCGGTCCTCTATGACCGAGGCGATTAAACTATAGTTTGCACTCACTCTGCTTACCACCTATTAGCTCATTAACACCAACATGATTAAGGCTGAAGAGTTCTGAAAGTCCAGATTGACTGATGACTTTCAGGACTTTGATTAGTTGCTCCCGTCCACTCGTCTCTTGTCCTTGGTTAACTTGTGTTCTCTTATCTCTTCTTCTCCCCCTTTGTTTTGTTGCTTCCTCATTGCGTCTCTCCTGTCTCTCCATCCTCTCTGATCGCCTCCGCGCTCTCACATCTTCACTTTTCCTCTTTCTTCTTTTTTTTTTATTTTACATTTTCGGTTTTCCCATTGCTCTTTTCAACTATTCCACTTTCTCTTGCCATCTTGTTACTTGTCTCTCCTCTGCTCTCGGTGTGTAACCCTCTCTTCTCAACTCTTTAATCTTTACTCCAACCCTCCCTCACTGCGTCTCATCTCAATTCTACTTCTCTGTTCTTGACTTGTACTTTTCCTCAAGAAAACTGTTTCTCTTTCTGCTCTTCGTTACCTTCGATTCTCTTATACTACGGTCATATCTTCTTTTTTTTCCTCCCTTTTGTCTTTAGGGGTCACCATCTGGGAGGTGATGACCTTTGGTGGGAAGCCGTACGATGGGATTTCCACCAGAGATATCCCGGACCTGCTCGAGAAAGGGGAACGCCTCCCTCAGCCTCCCATTTGCACCATTGACGTCTACATGGTCATGGTCAAATGTAAGTAAATGGGCATAACTTTAAATTACTTAAAATACAACATAATCGACACAAACCAGAGCATCTTTCCCAACAGTCTCAACTACTGTTTGCCATTATAAGCTAGAAAAGAAGCTATTTATTGAAAAGCCTGTGTATAGGAGTTTCTTATACATGATTGGGAGTTTTGTTTCTTTCTACTGCTTCAAACAAGTAAAAAAAGTTTTCAGTTGGAGCAGGCAGAAATTATGTTGGTTTTAGTGAGTGAGTCTATGACTCTCAAAATGCCATCACAGCTTATTTGTAACATTTTTAGATCCGAAATATTACTATAATAATAATAATATTCATTTGATCTTTTGTCCTTAAACGTCAATGAAACACCTCGCTTGACGGCCGCAATAGTTGGAAAATACCTTAAAAGTATCCAAGTTGGTAAAAGATGAATTACAGTAGGAACTATTGTTTTCCGGCTGGCTTTGTCGCCGTCATTGGTTGGTTGGTCGCTGCCGTCGGGGCGTGTAGGGGGTCACAGGTGGCGCTGTGACCTCTGGCTGCTGCTACCGAGATGAAAGCTTGAGGCCAGCGCTACGCTAGCGCTGCCCCGTCCTTGCCCCTGTAGCCTCTCCGAGCTGCAGCCCCTAACCCTCACTGTCACCTTGGCTTTCACCGACACCCTGAACCTGCGCCAACATGGGAAGCAGACACATGGCCCACAGCAGGAAGCGGTCACGGTCACCTGTCTGCTATCTGCCGTTCCTTTTTGGACTAACATGCATGCACACGGCTCATGCACCAAAATGTTCACATGTAGTGGAAATGCACTTCCTGACATTGAGGAGCTTTGCTGGCATTAAACCAGGCACCACGATACGAGATAATATTTTTTTTACGTTTTACGTTTTTACATTTTTCTTCAAGATGTATGTGTTGTACATGTGTGTGAAGTCACAGCATACTCTGTTACTGTGTCTCCTTCTCTTATTTCCCAGGATACCTAGACAGGCTTTACTCAGAGCCAGATCACGTGTTTGCTTTGGCATCATACCCATGTTTTCACAGGAAACTTGGCAAAAGAGCACATGGCTCCATATGGCCATTCTTCAGGAAACAGTATTTATCTTTGGATAATACAATGTATCGCAATCAAAAGAACTTCATTATAAAGTTATGTGTTTTTGTTTTGGTCAAAATGATCAAATAATAACCATATATCTTAGAAAATGGAGAACTATAGAAGAAGGTAGTTATCGGTGTTTGCATCATGTTTAATGCCACAATGCGTTGCCAGGTTATCATATGTCAGCTCATTATTCGATCCTAAGAAATATAGAGATACGTGTTTTTGATATAATTTTTCCTGTAACTACATTTTTAATAATCCTATGTTCCCATACTTCCAATATTTTGAATCAATTGTAGGAAAGGTTGGATTCAATCTGAGGTCCTGTTGTGCATGCCTTCCACATAGTGCTACCTTCTACTCAACAGACCCTTTCATGTTCATCCACACTGCAGCCACATGGACTTGAAATAAAAATGTGTGCTATTTCAGCTGCAACACTTTCTCACTCCCAACTGGTCAAATATGACAACTTGGTTGCTTCCTACACAACCTTTACTGCCCTTTGCATTGCATAACTTCCCTTCCTCCTTCATTTCTGCAGTAACTTTCACATTTTGACGTATAGGTCCTCCGACTAAGCTGCTGTGTTTGACAATTCGGAAGTGAGCGCAGGCGGTTTTATTTATGCTCTAATGAATAACATGGCAAACAGCACAGGAAACAACATGTCTTAAAGATCTGAGTCTACTTTGGCAGAAGTGTGTGACTCCCAGCACATGAAGAAAAAGGAAGTGATTTTAACTAGCGTAGATGAGACATTTGCTTACACAAGAATATATGTCTAAACATGAGATAATGTATGTAGTTAGAACTTGGTATTGATCAGACACTAACACAAACACATTTTGCAGGCTGGATGATTGATGCAGATAGTCGGCCCAAGTTCAAGGAGCTGGCTGCAGAGTTCACTCGGATGGCTCGAGATCCCCAAAGATACTTAGTCATCCAGGTAGGTAAACTTTGGGGAGATACTACAAAATCCTGGTTACGTGACATCTCTTTTTCACATTTGCCTAAAAACAAGCTGAGCTACCGTCAAAGTGAATGCTGATCAAACTTCCATTTTGCTATGTCTAGTCCATTTTTTTATATTTTGAAAAAGACAAAAAGTAATTAAAGCTATATACACACACACACACACACACACACACACACACACACATATATATATACTATTGTTTTATATGTGATTACATTTTATTGACCCTTTTCCTTTGGGAAAATATTAGAATTATTTATCACATTGCTAAAATGATTCTACTATGAGCTTAAGTTATAAAACAAACACAATTACGTTAAGCCTATATCATAAGCATGAGTAAAATAATAACACAAATCTTCCTTAAAATATTTTCAATGACAATATGACAAAACACGACAAAAACAATTTGATACCAAACTTATTCCTTAAATACTAAATACTAACGCAAGTTACTGAACACGTACATGTTTTACTCAGGGTGACGACCGCATGAAGTTGCCCAGCCCCGACGACAGCAAGTTCTTCCAGAGCCTCCTGGATGAGGAGGAGCTGGAGGACCTAATGGATGCTGAAGAGTACCTGGTGCCCCACTCCTTCAACATTCCACCACTGGCATACACTCCGCGCACACACATGGACTCCAACAAGGTATGCTCTTCTCGAGGCTCTCCAAACACCTTCATTCATCACTCTTTTTTGTTTTAGAAAATATTTCAAAAAAGCTAAATTTATGCTTTTGGCCTTTAAATCGTATTTCCAATGTCAACATAATCTTTGTTATTTAAATGAACATATAGCAACCTTTTGCAGACTTTGTTCAAATGTTCACTGTCAATTCTGCGACTTAAATTTATCACAAAATAAGTTATACAGCCAGGCAACTCACCCATTTTGGACTAAAAAAGCCTTTTCCAATTCAGGGGGACGACAGATTATTTGTTCGTAGATATCCACTGTTTTTGATGGAGCAAATACTGAATTAATTTGATTACTTTCATTGGGCCAAATTCATCCACATAAGTGATGTAGATCTTCTACTTTTCTATTTTATTTAAAAAAATGACCGGGTCCTCTCCCAATTACATGTATTTGTCCGACTTGCCACGTTTTCCTAATAGTCCCCCAAGTGTTTTTTTGCCGTGCACGTGTTGTTCCTGGAGTCAAAGATAAATCACCCCAGTGAGCTTCTATAAATGTCCTTCTTGTTATGTGCGTGGACACAAATGCTCACAGCAGGGCTGAGCTGAGTACTTTGCAGCATGGAGCCATTTAATTAAAATCATTTTAATTAAATTGTCCTTGGTAGTCAGGCTGCCATATCAATGTTTGGCACTGCCGTCTCCCCTGCCTGTCAAATTGAAACGCTACGCATGAACAATGGTACACAGAACAGTTCTTGGGACTTTAAAAGTGTCAAATTTATTGTTGTATACTTTCTTTTTTTTCTCTTGTCTATTGCCAATAGATGCTCTTGTATTTGTGCCTGAGACCCTTGTTCTCTCTACACTTTCCAAACCCTCTGCCTCTTTTCCTTCTACCAGAACCAGTACGGCTACCAGGACCACAGTTTCAACATGGAAGAAATGCTGGCCAACCTTCCCAGAGTGCTCTCTGTTCCACCTGTGTCTGGAGGATGCCTCCCACCACAGGACCTGCCCTCGGGATTTAGCCGTGGCAACCAGGACGACCCTCGCTGCAATGGGACCATGAGGAAGCAGGCCTCCCCGAGGTCAAGTACCCTCGGGCCTGGTTCAGTTCTCGTTCCAGGACCTGGTAAAGCAAAGTGTTTTCCAATTGTTGGAATCTATATTTTCTACGGACGAACCATTTAAAAATGACCATATTTTTGTATTATTGCTCCCCGAGGTGGAGGCGAGGACAGCAGTGGACAGCGTTACAGTGCCGATCCCACCGGGCTTTTAGCAGATCGAGGAGTAAAAGGAGACAAGGACCAGGACGGCTACATGACTGCCATGAGAGACAAGAACAACTCAGGTCAGGTCGAAAGCTGTTGCAGACTATTGTAAGCTTTTACATGACTTTCAAGTGGCTGCAATAGCAAGAGTTTCAGAATAGACGAAAAAAATTTGAACTAATCTTACCATCTCTTTCTTTTTCTAGACTATCTCAACCCAATAGAGGAAAACCCCTTCGTCACACGTCGTAGGAATGGCGAAGCCCACTCGGCGGTTGATGGGGCGGGTTGCCACACCCTGCACATGGCTGGAGCTGCCGCTCCCCCGAAGTCCACTCACGGGGACGATGAGTATATCAACGAGCCCCTGTACCTGAATACCTTCCTTAACCCTGGAGACAAGAATGGATTGGCTGGCGCAGTGTCCCTCTCTGGCCCGGGGTCCTCTGCTGCCCAATCAGTATCGCAGACAGTAATCCCTTCGACATCAAGCCACACGGTGTCCTCCTCTGGATACGTACTTCCCCCCGGCCTCCCACACCCGTCGTATCCATCGCACACCATGCATTCGGGGCATTCAGGACACGCTTTGCACTCAGGCATCACCAGCAGCACAATCATGTTTGATAAGAAGGGCAAGAAGGCCACGTTTGACAATCCCGAGTACTGGCAGCACAGCCTGCCCCCAAAGTCCTCACTGCACAACCCCGAGTACCTGCAGGACTGCAGCACGCGCTTTTTCTATCGGCAGAATGGACGCATTCGCCCCGCTGTGGCCGAAAACCAGGAGTACTTGTCCGAGGCCGCTATGAAAGCCGGCAATGTGTTGCCACCCCCTCCATACAGACAGAGGAACACTGTTGTGTAGTGACCGACCTGTAGCACAATAGAAGGAAAGGGGTCATGGTGAATGCGAGGTTCAACCGTCCTCTCCTTTCCGTGCAGCACATCTCCACCTGAGGTCCCCTTGCACCCTCCCTGAACACGTCTCTCTGTTATGTCTGACAACAAGTCTTACTGACTTACTCTAAGGTTTTGCCTTCTCTTGACGGGACTACAATAACAGTCACTGACGGCCTCACTTTACAATAGAACGTATTTTTTAGCACCGTATTTAGTCATGGAAGCGAGTCGGGATTTCTCTTTGTGGTTGGTTTTCTTCTCCAGCACATTTTCCTGCCGTTAAGTATCAGAATAGCACCAAAATAACAAAGATGAAATACTTTTTCTTTTTTTTAATCTCCAAATCAGGATTATTCCTATTGCGTTACATGGTTTTCTTTATGAAACCCATCAATTAGAGTCCCTTTAGCACATGGATAAATGTACCATTGCAGTCTGCACACATTGCCATTGCTTGTGTCGAATTAACGGACACGCCCACTTGGAGTCGTGCCGTGACTTACCAGCAAACCCACAGAAGTCTTGCCGAAGATCCCAGATGTGGCTTGCATGCTCTCCCACACACTTTTACATGTAATTCATTGTGTATTACTCACGTATCATATCATACCTTAAACATGGCGACAAGCCTTCAGCCTTGGAACACCAATAACCTCCATGCATTAGGTCATGAGTAAATATACGCACTCAATGGACCTTGTGCTGGGAGATTGTGCGTTTGGATAATGGCAGTCAGTGTTGCAGTACAGGGAAAGGGGTCAACAGGAAAGTAAATGTCACTGCAGTATTATTTAAGCTGTGATATCAGCCAGTACCTGTGGGAAAGCATTGGGCGGATTATATGTAAACCTTAGTACAAGGAAAAATGTTTTAATAAAACTTTTACCAGCATAAGATAATTTAAATAACACTAACTCGTACGCAAACTCATACATTTTGACCGTGCACTCACGGCTGCAAGTACCGTCTCTTAGCATGAAGGTGCAACAGGAGAAACTGTCAAAGGAAGCCTCTTCCAGATTTTTGCAATGACACAATACTCTAAAACTGCGTAATTGATTTACTATTTGCATCTGCCATTGATGTTGAGACATTACAAGGTATCACTAGATTCACTCTAGCTTTCTGTACTCATACAATACTGATGCCAGTAAGCTCTGATGGAGCTCACTAGCATCTGTTGTCAAATGACTGACGCCTAATTCAGGATGGGGTTGATAAGTCACTAGCACTTAAAGCTCTTACATAGTCAAAAACCTTCTACAGTTCTACAAACTAAGCAGCAATTTGGCCATTTTATCGTTTTATCATATTGCAATTTAATTCATTTACAGTGAGTTGCTCAGGCCCCACAGTGTTTGTTTCAACAGGCATTTTACAAAGCATCCCTAATCCAAACAACATTAATATCAAGTCGGGAATAGAAATTTGTCAGTTTTTGAATACCCTTTATACGCAGGTAGTTATCCCTTTGACAGCTTTAATTTAACGACCTACAGCAGGCTGATTTACCGGATTCTGGTATCAAGTTGATTAAATACCTTGATCATTATAGGTTTTATTTTATTTTTTGACTGTTTTTGACTGAATAAGTATTCCAAAATGTTAGCACTGCACCTATATGAAAACTGGATTGTCAAAAAAAAAGATCGATATCAAAATTGAACGGCCAACGAACAAGACTAAGGCCCATGACTAAGGACTAAGAACAAGACCTCATGTATACATTTTTTTATTTTTGCGCCCGGTTCAGGCGTATTGACAAAATCATTTCGCGTGAGAATTTAAGCAGCCATGCAACACTACAGTTACTGGAAGAAATCAAAGATGACGTTGCATCTCCGCCTCAGCGTTCACATTCAACTCCTGCAGTTGTTAAACTCCTCCCTACGCCACAATTATTGGCATCAGGATCATTTCAAACCGTCACAGCATCAGTAGTGGGAATATGGCAGTCTGCACCGAATCAAAGCACAAGTACTTAACGCTTTGCTACAGCACACTAGTCAATACGTACATTCCCCCACCACTGATGCCCGAATAACACATCAACTTCGTTGTCACTGAATTTTGGTTTTCGCCGTTTTGACTTTCCATGGACCATCCATGAAGCCCATTGAGCTGAAGCCCAACAATCCCCATAATGCACCTTAATCTCACTCAATGCAGCAGAGTTTATTTGTTGCTTTTTTTTCCCGTCAACACCACACGTCCAGTTCGTAATGGAGGTTTTTTGTGAAAATGTCAAGCCCCGGAAGAGATCACCCCAATAATAATACCTGGGTTTTTTTTCACAGACTTTGAAAGGACCTTTCCAGAGTTTTTCATTCACAAGCTGAGTAGTTCAACTGTTGACGGTCAAAATGAACTACCTGTAGTAAATTGCCTCTAGTACCCGTTACACCAAAAACCGACATCTCAATTGAATTTGAGAAAATGGACTCAAAATAAAAAGTTAATATCTCTTACTCTAAATAATAGGTTATAATAATAATTTTATAAATTAGGAGACCGCCCAATGCCTGTGCATGTCTCACTGCTGAAATACCAATCCACAACCACTGTTACACAACCTCGTGCCTCTCCACTCAAAATATCAGGCAGAGGGAAAGTGCGGACGAGCAGCGTTGATGATGTACTTTCCAAAACACGGATGTCACCGTGGCAAAGTGTTTTCTCCCACTCTCAGGTTTTATGAGCAACCGTATTCATCTAGTTCAGCTTCAGCTGATGCATAAATTGCCACATCATAAAGAAATCCAGAAATCAAACGTAATTTGATTAGTGTCATCACAATAAACACACTGCTGAAATGTGCAACTGAACGGACATGTGAATTCTATAGGTAGGGGGGGGGCCTTGGTTTTAATGTTCAGTCTTGAAGTGTTAATATTAACATTGCTTTGCTGCTAACTTACTTTTGCAACACTGGATCTGTCCTGTTACTGTATCTGAGATGCTTAAAGATATCCTGAATCCTCCTGGGTTTGGAGCTCACACTTACAGTAGGTATACTGTCTTTGCCTGAATGTGTGCCAGCGTCCGATATGGCCGCAGTCACCCAAAAGCTTTGTAATGGATCTCTATGGAAAAATAAAGCCAATCTTCTGGAGGAGAAAACCTTCTGGAGCTCTTAGCCGGCGAGCATCGCGAGGGGCTCTTAGCTTTTTGAATGCTAATTGATCCACTTTCCCTTTTTGTTCTGTGGGGAAATCACGTTACCCAACATTTCACCCAGTGCACCAGCTGAGAAACCGTAAATGAAAGGCAATAGGTTGTAATCTTGCAGGGGGGGGGGTGAAACTAAGGTATTAGCATTCCAGAAATGTTACCCGAGCAATGCATCAATGTTAGCAAGGGAGAAGGTGCAAGTGCACTGTAACTGGCAGATGAGACCAGAGTAGATTGCCATTCCTTCTTCTTTCTCCTCAGAGGGGATTTTAGAATCACTAGAGCCCATTTCCCAGCAACCATTTTCATTAATATATATATAATGTGTCACAGCCTTTCCAGTGAGCCGTATGCACACACACTACATGCAGATAGGACTGGGCCACAATTATGATGATTTGCATCTGTGTTTACCCTTTAATGACAGAGTTGTTTTAAAAAAGGACCTATATTTCCCTCTCAATACTGACTGCTTAAAGAGTAAACTGGCCTATAAAGTGTATATATTTATATTAATTTTGTGCATCTGCTTTTGTTTTGGGGTTTACTGTCATTTTAACAAATGCTATGAGTATTATAAACTTTCTGTGAGTCTAGCTATCTACTACCTTTGTCCCTACTCGAGGGCAGTATGTTCGCCCTTCAGAAGAACAGTACAGACGTACAGAAGTACAGACTTAATCTGCACATCATTGCCAAACGAGACGTTCAGGTGCTCCTCGTCAACTTTAAGCGTCTGCAGGTTTTGTACCAAGCATTGCCTTCAAACCGCCTACGACATTTAAATACCATTTATAAATGGTTTGGAAGGGGAGAGGTTTCCTAAATCCTGACTGAAGGATTTGATATTTCACATCAACGTATGAGGACAAGTGGCGAGTTGGACGAGTTTAACCGTTATAATTTTCAAGAATCTTCGATTTATAACCCCTTGGAATTAACATGTTAATGCTGCAAACTAGATTAAACAACAGACTTCATCTTTATTCTTCATTATCTAGACCAGTTTATGTGATTTGATTTATATCTGATTAGCATAAACTACGAGCTTTACAAGTTGGCGAGGTGTTCCTGACCAGGAAGGTTTAAAAACTCAATTGTGGGATTTTGAGGACTCCAGATGATGAACCAGTTGTGTCCTCCAAAGCAAAGACAAACTTCATGCTTAGTCCCATTTTATGGGGCCTTTGGATGGTACAATCCCTTGATGGACTTTTAAGTTGCATCTGACCCAGAAATGAGGACTAAGAAGGTCCAGCTCCTGAACTGGGACACAGTTATTGCATTTATAGAATGTGCTCTATTTCATGTTTGTATGCTTTCATTATTTATATCACGAGGAACTTTTTCACAGCATTGATATCAATAGTTTTGGTCAATACATCATTAAGCAAATCACATGTTTTTAAAGGACCATCATGCAGCAGACAAACACAAGTTCAACATTTGTAATAACAATTAAACTTAATAATAATAAATAATAGGAATCATACTCTGATTTCACCATGAGTTGTGTGCATATGTTTCACCTTGCCATAAAAACTGACGTAGGTGACGGCGGTTGAGTAAGCACAGTTTACAATATAATGAATTTATGGTAAAACTGTAACCAAAAGACAAAGCTGTTCAGATAATAGGACAGTTTTACCATTGTCAGTAAAAAAATAAATGAAATGAAGGTGAAAGTATTTTTATAGGTGGGTAAAGGGAGGCTAGGTACATCTGTAAATAAGAGCGAGAGATGCTTCTTTTTCCAGCTGAGGATATTTTTTTCGTTTGTTTTTATTTCTTTTTGCATCATTGCAATCGTAGTGCTCCACTGTATGTTTATACATGTTTGAAGGGAATATCTTTGTCTGTCTCTGTATGTATATAAATATGTATATATTCAGCAAATATACAGTAATATATAGATATATATGTGTGTGTGTATGTACATATACAGATATATACATACACGCATATACATATATATACATATATGTATATATATATTTTGTAAATGTAATTTGAAGAATGAAAAAGGCTTGCAGGGTCTCTTGTCACCTTGCCTCATCATTTTCCTTGTGATGTGTTTTCAGCACAGTTTTGTGACTTTGTGTTCTGACCTCTGCTCTTGCTCATTTTGTAGGAGTGTTTTTTTCATTTTCTGGGTGTAGTGTACCTCCCCTTCTCTCCACTTTTCTCACAGTATTATCCATCTCTTGAGATTTTTTGAAAGATTTTGTACACTCTTAAAATGCTGTTGCAATACTAATGAATATTCAATATTTCATCCCCCTTTTTTCTTACAGCCTTTCTTAACCAATGTTATTAATCTACCAGTGTCACTTTACACCCTGTGTTTTGAGGGCCTATACTATATTTCCTCGAGTAGTTTGAATAGTTTCCATTTGCACTGAGCTCAGTCACTGTTTACTCTCAGATGATATTCAGCTCTTCATCCATTTGAGGCAATACTCATTGAGAGGAGTAGCAATATCGTGTTACAGCCCCAGAGGGATTTAATGGTGTTTGAGGGACAAAGTGCAAACAGTTTTGCATGGGCTGGATTGATCGTGTGAATTACTGATATTTGCTTGTAAAGACGTTTGTACATTAACTTTTTTTCTGTCACCTTACCTAATATCTGTTGCGAGGACTGACACAGAAATGATCTTTGTGTGTCCTCATCAAGCAGTTTGTCACAATGCGGATGCTGATTGACTGAGGCGGCATGGTTTGTTAAATTTACAATCTAAACCTGTCAGGGTTTTATAGATTCTTAATTGGAATATTGTAATTGATATCTCAATTGTAGAAGACTCATGCCTAACCCGCTTTGTTTATGAACAAAAGGTTTTGTCCTGTTCTCACTTTACTGAAGACGAATACCACAATTTCGATTTCAATAGTTAAGATTTTAACCAGCAACAACTTTTGATCGTTTTTTTGTCATCATTTTTGTATATGGCTTATCACCAACAGAATACTATGAACCCAATGTACATTTACCATTGGACAGTTTATGGTCATTTGCACGGATCATTTCGGCACCAATCCTGTTATTTACAATATGCATCATTTCCAAATACATTTGGTAAAGTAGTCAGTTTGGCAAGCTTCTCAAAAGTCAGTGCATTTGTCCGAAAAGTACATTAAAGTTTGTTAGAACCAATATTCTAACATAAAAATGTATTGTAAATTATCATTGCGTTGTATAAGAATGATTGAGAACAAAGTTTTATAGACCATACCTCGTCACATATTACCATTTTTAAAATATTCTCTTAGCTGGTTAATTGATACATTTCCCAAGCAAGAACATTTAAATACGTATTCCCTCTGTTTTGTTACATGAATCTGTCAAAACTATATTTTTAATTCAATATGAATAAAAATCAGTCAATATTTAACAATGGATTGTGCTTATTTTCTAGTGCGGTATTAACATGAATCGGTAAAGGGCTTTGCTTTGCAATCACAGCATCAGAAAATATTTCCAATTAGTTGTTACTTACAATTTAGCTCTTATAGTTTGGAGGGTCCTTCATTCCGCCGGACTTCAAATGTCAGCCCGTTCTTCAGTAGTTCTGGCAGACACATGGGGGTGTTGTGTAGCCTTTGGTTGCAGCAGGACGTCTTCATGCTGCCCAGACAAGTCGAGGCAGCAGACATCTCTCACCATCTCAACAGATTACGCCTTTAGGTTAAAGGGAGCGAGGAGTCAGACGGGACAGTAGCTCCACTCTCCTCATTGCAACCTCTATTCTTCAGCCAATCTTCTTACACATTAAAAGCCTCTCACACAGACAAACTTGTACAATCGCAGAGTAATCACACCGGAGCGCCAATAATGAAGTGTCATTACTCCTGACACTGTGCCTGTGCATGATAGATGCGTCTCTTCTCCAGCCGATGACATTTTATGGCATTATCATAGGAAATCCAATGACGAGATCGGCATCCTGGAGCCAACTGCCCCATGCAAAGTCAAATCACTCGCCTTAAGATGGTAATAGACTGTGATCAAAACAATCCGTCACTGCCTCTGGTCTCACTCTCGCACGCCAACCCCCCTTGACAAAGTGTATAGATTTCTACCTGATATGAGGGATGACGGGCACAGTTGAATGTAAATGAGCTTAAATGACTTAAGGTGAATCGATTGATTCTTCTCTGCAAATAAAAAGTGAAGCCTGTATTTGACAGTGCGTCAATCTTCACCACAACACCTCCACGGTACAGCAAAACCCTAAAACTGTGTATGCGTTCCTATATGCAGCTATATTGAATATGTCATGGTAAAAACAAGAAGGTTTTAAAATTGGCTTGCGAGTTAAAACTCCAGAAAGAAGGCATTTTTCTCCACAGAATTCCATTGGGTGTCATGCTTCCCCTGGTCCTTCATGCTACACATTTTGCTGTCTCATCCCAGGTTAGTGATCCGATTGCACCAGCAACTAACCTCTGCAACTTTCAAGGCAGACCAGACACGCTGTGGGGGTTTCTTCAGAGCAGATTGTTTATTTGGACATCCCATCCTATCATGTGATGCGGTTACACGTGATGTTACGTTGTTACATAACACAGAAGAATTGACCTTTTCCTGCGTGCAGACTTTTGAATGTGCCTGCTCTGTCGCGATTGAGTTGAAGGATCACCTGGCATTGTGACGTGAAAAAGTACTTTCTTTCTCGAAAGTAAATGAGCCAATGAGCACCACGGCAGGACCATCAATTAGCCACTGTTAGTAACTGACACTGTTATTGAGGCTGCTTTAAACTGATTGAAATGAACATTTATTTTGAAATCAGAATAACAGAACAGATTCCTGGTTGAGATTTCGTCTTTTCCTGTAGGGACTCTTTGAGGACTCTCGTTAAGCTCGGACTGCCGTCCCCTTAAATAATATCTTCAACCCTTACAATTAATCTAACACATTTGAACCAACCCTCCGAAAGGACGCTTATTAGGCTTGAATGTAGTATTTGACTGCACGGACACTTACCAGAAAACCTATGCTGTGTCACCTTGGATCACACTGAAAGTATCCACCGCTTAACGAGATGAGTTCTGCCTGATATTGCTCTCACTGGTTTGGCATCGCTATCTCTTCTTCTCAGAGAGCCAGTGTTCAGGGCGGCTGCTTCCAAATCCCAGCGTGTTGGCAAACACTGATTGAATGGACTGTACAAAGCCCATTTAGCAGTGTTGTGATCCCCCTTGGGAGCTGTCATTATGGAGAGGCATATTGAATCCTCTTTACAGAATGTCTGCCTCTGGAGGCTATTATCTCTTCAGATACGCACACACAGCGCATCCTAACAGACAACATGTAGACAACGCTGTAATAAATAATGCCTGAAATCAGTGAACCTGGTGTCTTATTATGCGGACACAATAAATGTACGCTGACACTGTTGCTGACAGTATTTGCATGACATCTACAATAAGCGCTGAGAAGCATGGCCGCATTTATTTAGGATTCATCATCGCACATACAAATTCAACTAGATTTCCAGATGGCCGCCACAATTTGAGCACATTATAATTTGAATGGGATCGCAGCAATCGTTAATAAAGGCTCTGTAATGGTAACCCGAAGGTGAAGGTTACATTTGTTAAAAAGAAATGTCCATTACTAAAAATATCTATTTTTGACGAGTGTTTAATCAACTTAGTGTAATAACTTTGAACCAGCAAGCTATGAAACTCTTCACGTTATGTAACGTAAAACAGAGAAAAATTCCAAGTGGTGTTATTTTCCAGATTTGATTTGGGCTATAAAGAAGAAGAAATTGTAGAAATTGCTACCAGCTAATTGAGACCCAGTTTCTCTTGATCGTCTTCTCTTTGAAATGCCTAAATCACAGGAAGGAGTATCACTGAAAACATTTCCTGGTAAACGAATACACAGGATGCAAAGCAATAAAGGAATTTTAACAGAGGTAATCAAGACGTCTTGAAATGCATCTTTATCTACATCAAACCTGCAGTGTTTCAACCAATGCAGCTTTTGAAGTTATTTCTAAATACAAAAAAAACATTGCAGAATCCCTGTGGTGTCATTTGCAGTCAGCTGAGATGGAATAAATTGTGTCCTGGTGTTCTTCTCTGTGCTTTAGTCCATTAGCCACACGGCTCACTTCATGATATCTCCTACCTAATTTACAGCCCTGTCCATAAGTGAAATCTGCACCGTTCTTTAACCTCATTGACCAAACATGATGTGATTGGGAGTTTTATTGGGATTCAAGGTCAAGAAATGCACATGACCGGAGTTTTAAAACTTACCTTTGAGTAAATTGTGAGAGTAGATTTAATGCAGCATATTTTGCGGTATTTGCAGAAAAATCAATGCTTTTACTACGTTACATTCGTGGCCCCACTTGCTTTTACTCCATTCTTATTTTATGCAATCGTGATCTGTTAAAAAGTGGTCTGCTGGTCCCAGGTCTGCTGGCAAACACGCCCACACGATCCTCCACCTGTGAAAAACCACCTGTGGCTGAACTAGATTCATTTTCACATCAAATGAAATACTTGGGGTTGATTAACTCACTAACTTCTTGGTGACTACTTGTACTTGAGGTCTTTTTTGCAAAGTAACAGTACTTTTACAATTGCTACAATTGTTTTGGGCTACTTTATTCACCAACAATGTTTTGCTGTTGTTGAAAAGAACATGCAGTCTGTAATATAGTAATGTTCTAGAAATTACCTGACAGGAAAAGTATACAACTAGCACAATTAACATCAGGACACTGAATGTTTAAGTAGTTTCATTGCATAAATGAAACCGTCCCAAATCCGTTTTAGTTTAATGGTTCATTTGACACATTATAAAAAGCGGTTATGAAAGATTTGCACAAGCTACTTAATTTAAGCTGTGTTCAAATATTGATATTCAGGCATGGGAAGATCGAAAACTGTGCAGCATTTCACTAAGTAGTTTGACAATACACAAATTAAGATTAATATGTCTTTTTCACATTTGCATACTGCTTGTGATGATACAATTCATCTGATTACTGCTGAATATGAGCCGCTCAGCATTTATCACTTGCTTTTTTATGCAAAGGAATATTCAGAAACTTAAGCTTCTATTGAATTTATATTAGCTTTTTAATTGAGAGGGTTGCAATTACAGCTATTTTAAATATCCCTTGACTTCCAATAGGGAAATACACACTGAGATGACTACTTGAATCTTCAGGTACAGAATAGTTTTGTAGTAGTGAAGTTTTCAATATCTCAAGTCCATGTTTGAGATGCCTCCCTCATATCAGCACTTTGGAAATAAAACATACATTCAGCGGCCTAGATGTCATTTGCTTTAAGTGCCCTCTTGATATTTGGGTCGTCGTGGCGCAGGCGTTAGAGAAGGTGTGCTGGGAAGCACAAGGTTGGTGGTTCGAGTCCAGGCTGCCCCATGTTCTATGTCGAAGTGTCCCTGAGCAAGACTCCTAACCCCTAATTGCTCCCCAGGCAAAAATGTGAAAAAGCCATGGGTTTAAAGTGTAATGTAAGTCGCTTTGGATAAAAGCGTCTGCTAAATGACCTGTAATGTAATGTAATATAATTTCTAGAAATGCTCTTTGCTGCTCCTCGTGTTCCCTGAAAAGGTTTATAGTGTCAAAAAATATAACACTCAGATGAGAGACGTATATGAGAACTCACATTTACCACTCACCCAATAGAAATATAAGACATGAGCTGCTTGTGCTTCTGCAACATTTGGTTGACCCCAATAGACATCACTGTTCAGCCACACATTCCCTCAGTACAGCCAGGTCAATGATTATTGCCTATTTCCCTCGCATGGAAGTAATAAAAGCTGATGTTTGTCTCAGCCCTAAAAGTAGCTTGAAAATGACTTGGCCGGCCCACTTCAAGATCAGACGCAACCAATCTCACAGTGCTGCATTGATCGAATTAGAGGGATGCAAGGTAAATAAACACTTTCAAATAAGGTTTTTTTGTGTCATACAGGCGATGTTCACCCTGCATGTCACACTGCAAATTGATTTTACAAGTTTTAACTGTAAAACAGATAAAACTCAACAAGAGCATTAGTGGTGACAAACCACCTCCTCCACGTTTTTTCCTCACACAAACGGGCTAAATTGGACAGAAGTGAACTAATTACATGTGACATACAGTCATTACAGGTAAGCCATTTATGTTTTTTAGTTTTTTGCCTTCGCATTGTGCCTATGGGTGCAAGTTTAATGGTGCAGGAGGGAAAAGGAAAAGCGATAATCAGGATGTTTTGTGGGAGCTGGGGAATTATGCTGTGACTGCCCCATTAGTCTGTGACTCAGAAGGAGATGCTGCGCTTGCAGGTGTGTGGCAGTGGCCACCTTTCATACAATCGTGCAGATAAAAGTGCTTTCCAGAGGACTGACATGTT